CCAGATCAAGTCCCTAAGTCCGATTTAGCCCATATGTCCCATACCAATCTATACATTCACCTTCACACTCGCGAAACACATGCAATAACGTCGAATGCAGGAAGATCATAGGCCAGGAGGTGGGAACTCCTATGGATCCAGTGGCATTGTAAGCATCTCAGCACTGGCAGGGCTCTCCGGTGGCTTCTCCAGCACCCAGGACTGCATCAGGGTAGGTCCATGTGGCTTCTTCTCAGGGATGTCTAGGAGGGAGTCAGCCTTCTCAGTAGAGAGTCTCCAAGGGAGTAAGCAGAGAGAGAGGTGTCTCCAGCCTCCAAGAAGGAAAATGCAGAAGTTCCCAGAATTCTCAGGAGAAGGCCATGCCCTCACCGAGACCTCATTGATTATATCTTGATTGACAGGCCAGACTCCACCCCTTCACTCATAATCCTCTCAAATTGACACCAGATTATGTAACTACCACATATGGATCACATTCATGAGTAGCCATGAATCAGAGTGGATTTATTTTCTAGTACCTTGAGAGGATTTAAGGAGCCCTGATAGTGTAGAAGATTATGTACTGAGCTGCTCTCTGGGAGACAGATGATGCTGCCATAAAGAATTACAGTCTTGGACACCTAAAGGGGACAGTGGTATCCTATCTGATAGGGTCACTTGACTTGAGTCAGAATTGACTTGGTGGCAATGCATTTGAGGGTGCAAGTGAGGGGTTCAAGAAACTGCAGGAAAGATATAGCAGGCTGGAGCCTCAAAAAAGACAGCCAACAGAAAATTCATGGTAGCTGGAATTTCTCATTTTTGTTTCTTTCTTTTCTGAAATCAGAGTGATTCATAATCATTTTAAGACTTTTTTAGTGCTGTGATTTGCTTCAACCTCTTCATGACCCCATCCCAACTTTATTATCTCCAAACCGTCAGTAAAATTTATACTTTAAAAACTAGTCAAATGGCTTAAGAAAATAATGATGAGGTAAAAATGAACCAGCAATGAATGGTAATGCTATTTAGACTTCAGAAGCCTACAAAGTGTTATTCTGAAAAGATGGCTGTTGAGTAGAAAGCAAGGGGCATGAGGGACATCAGTGATCCAGCTTGAGAAAAGCAACTGCAAAAACTCCTCAGCAGGATATGCCAGGCATCGAAAATCAGCAAGGAAACCAGTGTTTAGGAAGCCCAATAAGACAGTAAGAGATGAGCTCAGAAAAATAGCCAGGAGCCAGATGATGCTGGTCTGCATGAGCCAAAGATTTTACTGGATTTTACTTTGAATGAGACAGGAAGCCATTACAGATAGGGTTTTGAGCAAAGAAATGACATCATCTGACTTATATTTTGAATGGGTCATTTCCGTTGTGGGGAAATTATCCCACAGGGAGGCAAGGATGACCACAGAGAGCGCAAACAGGTGGCTTTGATCAGGGTAGTGGTGATGGAAGTGGGGACAAGTGGATTCTGGATGCATTTTGAAAGTACTGGCACCAGCATTTGCAGATATGGGAAGTGAAGGAAAGAGGCCTCAAGGATGCCTCTGGGAAGTAGTTTCTAACCCTAAACTTGCCCATGAAGCAATTACTCCAGCAGAGGCAGTTAGCATTCCTTCCAAGATGGCTTTGCAGGTCTGAATGTTGTTTCCCCCTTAGTTTGTGTGTCATATAAACGCCTAAAGAGATTTCAGCCTTTGGGGGTGTGGGCTCTACATGACCTCTAAGATAGCTCATGGGCCAAATATTCTAGAACCATATGACAATCAGAACCATTTAACTTTTCAGGCTGAGTGGTATTAAATTGACAGGCACAATTCAATTGCAAAGTAAATTTCAAGGATGAAAGTGAGTTTTTAATACCTGGGGCCTACTGTGTGCACCTTTTCCAGTATATATGTATATTTACACAGGCAGAAACAGGGTTAAAAAATGGCATGATGCAGTTTCCTGGGGCAAAAACAGACCCTACATTGAGAGCAGGTGGGGGGGGGGGGGAATGTGAAATGCATATGTTGATGGTGGGAGCAGCAACCTCTGGGATCATGATGAATAGAGAGGGGATCTACAAAAAGAAGAAATACTTAGGTGGTAGATGATTTAATTATAAACAAGCACCCTAATGTGTTCAAATTCCCCCAAATGTCTCCTTGAAATCAATGATGCGAAGGGGTTTGGGAGAATCTGCAAGTGCTCTTAATTAGTTGTTCTCAGTGGAGCTGTTGCTAGAAGCTTGCTTGACATTCTCCTTTGGGATTTGTCCTCAAAAGGGGTTCATGCTCCTTATGTGGTAACTTCCTCCCAAAGGTCTCTGCATTGACTTCGTGGAGCACTCAACCATCTCCTGCCCTCCTAGCAGGAGAGGTACACTTGGGGACACCCTGGGGAACTGATCAATTGGTCAAGCTGATCAGGATCACGTCTTGGTCTGTTACCCCAAAGCAGTCCTTCCTTGGATAGCACTTAACCTCAGTAAACCTCCATTTCTACATCTTTAAAATGGGAGTAGTAATACCTTTACAGAATGATGGTTCCTTAAGGCTTGATGGTCAGGCTCCGTGTGGGCTAGCCATTGCAGAAGGTTCCCTCAGCCTAAGGCTAGCTTTACCCTTTGGGTGCCAACTAGTTTGTAGAGATTTTGCTGCACTTTACACAGAGCTGAATCCTTCCTGTTGATCTTGTATGGTTAGTGCCATTGAGGGGGTTCTGACTTTTAGCAACCCTAAGTACAAAAGAATGAAACACTGTCCAGTCCTGTGACATCCTCACACTTGTTCCTGTGTTTGAGCCCATTGTTGCAGGCACTGTGACAACCCATCTCCTTGAGGGCCTTCCTCTTTTTCCTCTTCCCCTCTACTTAACCAAGCATGATGTCCTTCTCCAGGGGCTGGTCTGTCCTGAAAATACACCCCAAACACCTGAGAAGTCTCACCTTCCTTGCCTCTAAGGAACATTGTAACTGTACTTCTTTCAAGACAGATTTGCTTGTTGTTTCAGCAATTTCTGGTACTTTCATAACTCAAATGCACCCCTTCTTCTTTGGGTTCACTTCCATATGAGGCGATTGAAAATACCATGGCTTGAGTCAAGGATGGCTTAGTCCTCAAATAACATCCTTGGTTTTCAAAAGCTTAAAGAGGTCTGTGCCGCAGATTTACCCACTGCAATGCCTCATTTGATCTCTTGACTGCTGCTTCCATGAACATTGATTAGGAATCCAAACAAGATGAAGTCCTTGACAACTTCCTAGTTGTGAGGGTTCTGGTCTTCTTTATGTTGAGTTGTAATCCATAGGGAAGGCTGCAGTCTTTGATCTTCATCGGCAAGTGTTACAAGTCCTCCTGACTTTCAGCAAGCAAGGTTGTGTCATCAGTATACTGCTGAGCACTTGGACCTGAGGGAAAATTTTCTATTTATTCTTAACTAGCTTTTTCCTTTCCCCCTGTCTTGGTGCTGAGTTTTTGGCTCAACTCCTTCTACCTTGCATGGCCAGGGGGAAAAGCCAAATGGGCAGAATGCATTAAATACTCTAGCTTTACAACTGTATTCCTTTGAAGAAAGAAATGGAAACTGTTTTGCTTAGAATTCACTACCTATCAGGCAACGTCTCCTTCCATTCTGGAAGAACTTCTTAAGGGTAGACGCTACTGACATTTGACAGACAAGCAAACTGCATTCGACTATGACACTAGGCAGTAGTGGTAACTAGGCAGTATTTCCACATTTTTATTTCAGATGTGTTATTTTGTGAACACTTTTATGCTGCTTCCCTTTTTATTTATAAACTAATAAATTCTCTTTGTTCTAGAAAAAATTGGGGGAGCGCTTGTCATGGCATTTATCACTTTAATAGTTGTATAATTTCTCATTAAGTTAATCTACTATAATTTATTTAACCAATTTCCTACTGTTGGCAGGTTGGCTTTGCTCGCTTATTGTGTGTTTTTTTTTAATGTTTTTTCTGTAATAAATCACCCGGCTATGAACATGTACACATGAGTATTATTTCATTCTGGAAATTTCCCCATCCGGGAATCACTGCATCAAAGAGATAATCATTTTTATGACCTTTAGAAGCACCAGCGATTTGTATACCGAGAGGAGTATCCTATATTTGAGGGTCAAAAGCAAAACCTAGTTTTCTCTAAAGAAGTTAGTTTTTCCACTTATTCGTAAAATTTTCTAGCGCGTGATGGGTAGCAGGCGTCTTGCCAGGGGCCGGGTCGCCCTCTTCCAGGCACTCGCTCCTGGTCGGGGAGCGCTGAGGACGCACCAGGCGCCCGCTGCTGAGCCCCGTGCGCCCGAGCGGCGCCCAGGAGCCGAGGGAGGGAGCTGCCAGGGAGCCCCGGGAAGTCCGAGCGACGCTGGACCGGAGTCCTGCAGAATGAGTAAGAGTTTGAGCTTGGGGTTTTTATTGATTTTGACCGTGAACCTCTGGCCTTGTGCCAGAAAAAAAGTTCCCCACGCGTGGCACAGCGAACGCGGGCAGCGTGGCAAGCGGCCCCAAACTCGGGAAGCCTCTTTGCACCCCGAAGGAGGGGAGCCGGTCTCCCGGGACGCAGGAGGAGGCTCTAGCGGACCTGGAGCCGGGAGGCGCGGCCCCGCGGGGGGCCGAGGAGAACCTGAGCCCGGGCTTGCGGGGTCCGGAGCGCAACCGAGCCCGCGTGGTCCCCGCGGAGCGAAGTGGCACCCTCGGCTCCGGGCGGGCGCCGCGGGGGGGGGGGGGTCACCTGAGTGGCCGGGGAGGGAAGCCCAGGCGCCAGAGTAGGGGGACTAGAGCGAACCTCCCCCGGGGAGTGGGGCTCAGGAGCCGTCGGGTCCCCCAGGGCCCGCTGGCGGGATCGGGAAAGGGGCGGAGCCAGGGACTGGCCAGGGGGTCTGCGGGGGCCGCTGTGACCAGGCTGGAGGACCTGTGCGGGGAGCTCCTGGAGCCGAGCACCTCCCCGGAACCGTGACCTTGGCTTCGGGGAGTAGGTCCCACGCGAAGCTCTGCGCTCAGCCCGAGCCCATCCTGGTGGGCACCCGCAGCCGAGGAGCCAGCGCTGCCCTGCAGAGTAGCCCGGGCCTGGTCGCCAGGTAGGACGGAGGGACTCACGGAGGGCGGTCAGACAACTCCACGAGTGGGGAGGGGCCGTGGGTGGGGTGTCGAGGGGTCACTGGCTTGGGGCCAAACGAAGGGCGCACCCCAAAGCAGCTCGGCCTTAGAGGCATCATGGGGTGGCGTGGGGGCTGTTGAAGGGTTAGGTCCCAGGTAGCATGACCGAAGGCTTCTTGGGTGACCAGACTCTGCTGACCATGGTTACCCTCAGAGGGCATGGGGGTTGCCTTTGGGGTTGAACTCAGAGAGAGCTAAGAGAAGGGCTGTGGGTAGTCTCTTGTATCCCCGCCTTGTAACAGAGAAAACACTCCTTTCTCTTGTGCTAACTTGAGAAGCAGGCCGCTTTCTATTCTTAATGTACCTTACCGGGAAGGGGGTGGAGGTGGAGGTGGGGGTCAGGGGTGGGGACAGCATAGTCTCAGCACCCATCCTCACAGGATCTCTAGTCCTGGACATAGTGCCGCAGTGGCCCCATAGTTAAGGTATCTGTCAGTCAGTCCCTAGGCCTAATCAACCGCGCGCGCGCGCGCGCGCGCGTGTGTGTGTGTGTGTGTGTGTGTGTGTGTGTGTGTTATAATGGTCAAGTTAAAAAACAAAGATTGGCCATCGAGTCCATTCTGAGACAAGGTAGACCCACCCGCACTGTGTTTCTGAGGCTGTAAATCTTGACTGTAGCAGAAAGCTTCTCTGGCAGAGCCTTCAGAGAAGCTCGTGGTATCGAACTGCTCACCGTGGGATTTGTAGCTCAACTTGTAACCTCCTGCACCCCCGTAGCTTTGCATTACTTCAAATGTATAGTTTTCTAGAGACCATGCAAACATATTATTATTAAAAATAATCAAACACTCCAAAAGTTTGCCTCCTGTGGCATTTGAGTTTGTCTCTCCCTTGTTCTGTCATTGATTGACCCAAATAATTTCCTCCCCCTACCCTCTGTCTACTGAAAGTACCAGAAGAAAATTAATATCCTCACTACCTCCTTTTCAGACTTGCTGCCCACAGTGGTTTTGTTTGGCCTTTCACTCAGGTAGCCCTCAAGGTAGGGAGCCCATTAAAGAGAACCTGGTTCCTTTACTTCCTGTAACTCTCTCTGCGATTGGAAGAAGGGAGCTTTGAGGAATAGCCTTCAGCAAATTCCATGTTCACTTATTTTTTTTCTTAAACTGATTGTTGCCAGCGCTGTTCAAATAGTAGTACCTGACTGAGGAGAATTAGTGAAGCTTGTCTCCTGAAAGGCTCTCGATTTCTGGAAACTGATACCTTATAAGTACAGACTTTTTAGAGTACAATTGTACCAGTTATATCTATCCAGTTCTCCCCCACCCCTGCTTCCCCCCCAGCATGCTGAGTAACCAAAATAGGGTACTTTGCCCCTCTGTAGGAAGCTGAGAGGTGCCCTGCTGGCATGGCACCAGGGTACAGCACTGAGCTGCTAGCAGATGGCAGTCCACACCCACCAGCTGTTCTGTGGGAGACAGATGTCTTACTTCTGTAAGATTAAAAAAATCCATTTCTGTTGCGTGCATTCCGACTTAAAGTGAGTGACTATCTAGAACACAGGAAAACGACCACGTGGAGTTTCCAAGGCTGTGTGTGAAAGCAGGCTGTCAGGTCTTTTCACCTGGGAACAGCTGGTGGTTTCAAACTGCCCACCCAGCCCTAGCCTGGGCACCCCAGCCTGGGCACCCTCCTGTGTGGTTCTACTCTCTCTGGTAGGATAACTGTGAGTTGGAGTCTTCCCCACGATAACAGGGTTGAATGCTGTTTACTTAGAATCCTGGGCGCTCCGGGTCTTATGCCTACCTCCTTGAAGCCCTATGAAGGGGCCCAGTGCCGATGGCTTTGTGATAGACAAAAGGTGTGGGGTGGAGAAGGTAGAAGAGCTGCTAGCAGAGGAGCAGTGAGGTAGGAGGGAGGACCACCCCAGGATCCTGGACTGGAGAAGAATGGAAGAGCTGTCATTTAGCAATACTCCACCCCCGCCACCCCCTCCTCCCCCCACTGACAGACTGCTGATTTGGGTGAGAGACTACATGTGGCTCACTTCTCGCCAGCAATTAGCACAGTAAACTGGCACATGTCGAAAAGTGTTTAAATTTTTTGGGGGGGCGGGGGGGGAGTAGGGGGGGTATGCAAACCAGCATGTATTTACATAAAACATAAAGTTATTGTTACGAATTAGCAGATTCTTTTGGAGTAGCATTTAAAAGCATCAAATAGCTACCCCAGTCTCCATGTTTTCCTCTTTTATTCCTTCTTTTCATGTCGCATGACCTTGATCTGGGTTTCACACATCAGGCATTTCAGATGGCTTAGAATAGTGGTTCTCAGCCTGTGGGTCGAGACCCCTTTGGAGGTCGAACAAGCCTTTCACCGGGGTTGCCCAATTCATAACAGTAGCAAAATGACAGTGATGAAGTAGCAACAAAAATAACTTTATGGTTTGGGGGTCACCGCAACATGAGGAACTGTATGAAAGGGTCGCGGCATGAGGAAGGTGGAGAACCACTGGTTAGAAGCAGCCACCCCATAAGAAGTCCTTTGAATATGGGCTAGAAAATAAGAACCAGTCCATATAGGATGTTGTAGTAGGGTGGGGCTGGGTGCGTTAGAAAGAGGACTGGTTGAGGACAGCTGGGTGACTGGGTAAGCAATCGGACATCATCCTTAAGAGACCAGGACAGTGAATGTTATAAGAAGTGAAGGAAGCATTCATTCCTTCAAAACGAGTGCCAGGCTCTATGCCAGTCACTGGGGACAAAATGGAATGAAACCAGACCAGTTCCATGCTCTCCTGGAGCTTAGAGATGCTCTGGGGAAGCAAACATGTATAATACAGCAAAGCAAGTAAGTAACTCCTCACTGAAACAGGCCCTCTAAGGAAAAGAAGGGAAGTTCTTTGGCAGTGAAATGAGACTTTACTCTGTTCAAGAGAACGTTTCCCCAAGGAAGTGTCCCCTGGGCTGAGATTGAAGAGCGAGTGGGAAGACTGGAAGGAGCCCTGGTGGGGCGGGGATTAGGTGTGGAGCTGCTAACAGCAGTGTCCTGTCGGACATTCGAGCCCATCAACTACTCTGCAAGAGAAAGATCTGGCTGTCAGCTCTCCTAAAGATTTGCAGACTCAGAACCCCTTTGGAGGGTCACCCCGAGTCCAGATCAACTCAGGGCAATGGGTTTGTTCCCCAGTGTGGGTAATGTTGGAGATAGATAGGTATATCCTGGTGATGTTACACGTTCAGTTGTGTAAAGCAAGTCAGAAACATTTTGTTTGGTTTCTTGGTGCATACACAAGTTACATTGATACTATACTGTGGTCTATTAAGGGTGTAATAACATTATGAAAAAGTAGGAAATACTGTGAGAACGACGAAAACGCAGCAGAGACATGAAATGAGCACACGGTGTTAGAAAAATGGCGCTGGTGCACTTGCTTGACACGTGGTTTCAAAGACCCTTCCATTTGTAAAGAGCAGTAACTGCGAGGCACATAAAGCAAAGCACCGTGAAATGAGGTATGCCTGTGCTTGGTCTTGAGGCAGGACCAGAATACATCAGTTCAGAAGTGCATGTGGTTGGTGGTCACCGAGAAGTCAGGCTGCCACGCTCTGTTTGCCGTACTGCCTGCTCAGCTCTGCTATCACAGCAGCATGTGCCGTGTCTTCGGCTGGCCATGATGTTCCATTACTGTCATGTTTTCTTTTCAATTAAAGGTTTAAATGGACTTTAACTTTTTTCTTCTCCATTGATTTCATGGGGCACAATAAAACACTTGCATTGTGGTTCAAATATAAAACCACCTATCCTTCCACTGCTAAGGTAAATATGTATGCTCACACACACACCCTATAAAATTTGACTTGTGCAGTGACAGTGATTGATTTCCTAGGTGGATTGTGCCAAATGGGCTGCAGCTTCTTCTCTTTACCCCATCTACTGAACTAAGGGGAAGAATGGAAGAGTTTAGTTACCCTGTAAGTACATGTGTCTCTACAAAGCTTCATATACAGTCAGTGGAACAAGGAGGAGGAGAAGGGGGGGAGGGGGGGAGAGAAAGGGGAGGGGAGAAGAAGGGGACGATGATGAAGAACGTATGCATTGATGCCGTAAGCAAAAGTAATTCAAAAATCACTATGTAGTAGTAAGAGGTACTCTAACCAAAGACGTGTTTCTTATGCATACAAATATTCTCATTTATTCACAGTAAAGGTCTAGTACTATACTAGATTCAATGAATAAAATGGTAAGTCGCCGTCCAACATATAAGGAACGCATAGAAGTTACAGGAAGGAGAATGAAACTCACAAATGCAAGTGAAATATTATAGTCGTTATAAGGGAAGCATAATCATGGTACAGTGATGCGCTATATAGAGGAATGATCAGTTCTCAAGGAGAGGAGGACTCAGATTCATAAAGGACATAAACCATGAATTCAGTCTTGAAAGATGAGACTTCCTATTAGACAGACAAAGGAGAGAGGGCCTGAGAGAAGGCTTAGTATGTAAAATAGAACAACAGAAAATCCCCAGAGGCATGGAAGGTTCTAAGGCCTGCAGGTGGCTTGAAGAGCTGCAGAATTGGGAGGGATTCACCAAGAGATGAGGTTAGGGAGGGGGCAGGCTAGTCACAGAGCTTCCATGTCCTCAGGTGTTTAAAGTATAGACTCTGGGGCCAGATTCACCCACGTTAGAGGCATGGCTATGCCACTTTCTTGATTTGGAACTTTGGGTTGCAAACCAGTTCATTTCCATTTGATCCCCTGCTGAGAATCTGCATTGCCATCTCAGACGGAACCAGAATCTACATTTTGTGTGTAAAAATCACCTGGGAATCAGAGGTGCCCTGAAAGAAAAGCCTAGCCACGTCCCTCTGAAGAATAAGCCATTAAAACCTTCGGGAGCATCGTTCTACTCTGATACACATTGTGTCGACTGGAGCTGCAGTTAACTTGAAGGCAATTGATGGTGGTGGCGGTGGGG